GAGAAAAGAAAGAAATGGAAACAAAGTCTTTGCAAATAGGGAAGGGTGGAGGGGGTGAAGGGAGGGGCAGGGGAAGGGGAAAAAAATAAGAACCAAGATACTCATGTAATGGTACAAGGTCCCAATGATGAATGTAACTGTATTTTATACCTAAAATGTACCAATGAACTTAATGGGAAAAAAAAGATTATATTAGTGTGACATAGTAAGCTGTTAGCTGTAGAAGAATGATGGGAAGAATTCTGTATTGACTTGACAGTTCTTTCATTAACTAGTTTTTAGTGGTCTTTAAAGCCCCTTCTGCCTTTACAGTTCCATTATCTAGCAAATATGTTTGTGATCTGCTTTGGTTACATTTGTGTAGGAAGAACTCAAAACCAGGAATGTTATCGTCACATACAAACCTCAGATCCTTTAGCAGCATATCAAGTTACGGGATGTTTTTTGAACCCATTCATAAGAAACATTTATTGACCAAATGATTTCATTTAGAGGACCTATCTTCATAATCGTAGAAAGGATTTCAAGGGATTATCTAGTCCTCCCAAATTTTGAGCAAGAGTACCTTTAACATGCTTCTTAAACATGATGTTTCTCTCCCTTTTGAAAAAATAATGCAAGAAGTTAGTCTTTCTTATTGATATACTATATCATTTCATAGCTTAATGTCTTATGTTATTGTCATCTGAATTCTCCCTCTATGGCTGTGTTCAGTTGTCCTTAATTTGTGCTGACCATGGGAGAGAGTAGGCCCTCACTGCCCAGTACCGAGCAGGTGGGTGCTTATTAGAGGATATGCCTTTTTAGGACAGGGGGCCACAGATCTGGCATTACTGTGGTAGAGAATTGACCAAAGCCATTGGACCTGCTAAATTTCCTTTACCTTATAAAAATGTGTATTAGTTTATTAAAATGTGTATTTGCCCACTTAAAGCTACTTGAGTTTATGGGTTTCTGTCGAGAATTAAAATGCTTTTAAAGCATATAGGATTATACTCTGAAGACTATAGTTACTTTCTAAAATGATTATCCTTAATTTTAGGATTTGGATTTCTTTAATCATGTCCATTATTCTGCTATTGGTTTTAGTGAGCTAAACATGTAAAAGAACTTGCAGAAATTATTTTTATTAATTAACTAATTAGATAACCTAAATAATAAACCTTTTAAATTAACATTTTGTTAACCATTAGAAATAGCAGTTTTGGGGCTGGGGATTTAGCTCAGTGGTTCTGCCGCCTGCCTAGCACGTACAAGGACCAGAGTTCAATCCCCGGTACCAAAAAAAAAAAAAATTGCAGTTTCATAACACATTTCTCTAGAGTGCTTATTTCTTCAGTTTTGTAGGTGAAAGTTACACTTTTATAAGTGAAACTAAGAGAATAATGTATTGTTTAATGTCAGGCTTTGGAATCTCTTCTGGAAAAGAAGCTGTCACCAAAAAAGGTGAAAAAATGTTTCAGTGAAATTCAGAGCCGATTTCCTGTTGGTAGCCAAAGGACCCTAGAAACATGGCCAAGGACATTGCCAAAAAGTGAGAGGACACTCTGTGTAGCAAAGGAGACATTTCCACAGGAAGCAAGTCGACCTTCAGTGGCAAAGAAGCTTCTTGTTGGTATGTATATTACAGTGTTTATTGTGAGATGTTTTATTCTTTGAAATTATCTGGGCTATAACAGTTATTGCACTGAGGGGAAAAATCAGGAATTACAACCTAGTCCATGACAGTTGCATTTTAACTAGAATCAGTAATATTAACCAAGATGCTTCCTTTGGCTGAAGGCTGGAGTATTCTGTAGAGGAGTGTGAAGAAAATAAAATTCTCTCTTCTCTTATCATACCCAGAGCCCGAGCATGCTAGGGAAGTGACTTGTCACTAAGCTATACCCCTATCTTGTTTATAATATTTCAGTGATATACAGTATACATATACATACATACATTTGATACATATGTACTTTTTTCATATAGGTAGTAAATTCTTACTATCACAGGTAGAATTGCTAGGTTATATAGTTGACATATTTAAACAAATACTACCCTTATACCTTAAAAGTGGGCATACCATTATGTTTTAACTGGCAGTAATGCTAGTTTGTATTTTCCCATATCCTCCCCGCATACTTTATATGATAAAATTTAAAAATTTTCCTAGTTTCTTGGTGGAAAATGATGTCTTATTGTTTGAGTTTCTTGATTCCTAGTGAGGGTTATTTCTTTCACATCTTCTTTAGCCATGTTTATTTCATCTTTTGTGATTTGCCTACTTGTATCCTTTATCTCCTTGTTAGAGTGTAACTTTTGCTTATGGATGTGTAGAAGTTCCTTATATATTATTCTAGATGTTAATCTTTTTTTGGTTTACACATATCACAAATATTTTCTCCTACTTAGTCACTTACTTTTGAAATTTATGATTCTTTTCTCTGGTATAGAAAATTTTAATTTTCTAGGCAAACTCATTAATCTTTCTTACCTAGTTAAAATTGGTTTGTTTTTTTTTGTACCAGGGATCGAACTCAAGACCTTGTGCTTGTGAGGCAGGCGGTGGAACCACTGAGCTTAATCCCTGGCCCCCTAGTTAAATATTTGATGAGACAATTCACTTTGTTCTTTTCTTACTGATGGTCATTGCTCATCTTCCTGAGGAATTTAGGATGAATATGTCAAGTTCCATGAAAGATGCTGTTGGGATTTTCATTGGTATTATATTGAGTTTATAGATTAATTGGAGAATACATTTATTCATACTCTTTTTTTTGTCCTTTCAGTTCAGTTTTATAATTTTCTACATATAAATTTTAGAAATTCTTTGCTAGTTTTATTTCTAGTTTTTATATTTTATAGTTTTTATTGCATTATGATCTTTTTTATTATGAAATTAGTTATTGGTACTTAAGGAAAACTGTTGGATTTATTTATTCAAAGGAGCATTGTTCTTAAATCTTTTATGATACTATATTTTTGTTGACTCTGAGATACACGGTTGGAGATTTTTGAAATTAGAATTCGTTCTATACTGATGACATCTTACAGTAATCCTAACATTTTCCTTTTTGTGTGTGTGTGGTGCTGGGGATTGGTCCCGGAGGCCTCACACATGCTAGGCAACCACTGTACCATTGAGCTACATCCCTATGCCAATTTTAAACATTTTTAAACAATACTTTAAAATCTCTGTTGGTGGGTAGAATTATTAGACAAGAGGAAAGTAATAAGTGGGAAGGAGATGTAAAGGAGGGTAAGAGAGGGCATGAACATGATCAAAACATGTTATATCATTTATTAAAATACCACATTTAAGCCCAATTTTATAGTATTAATATGCACTAATAAAATACATTAAGAAATAAAATACTTATTGATACATAATGACGTGTCTTATAAAAGTTTTAGATTTGATGAAATAAGGTATGTTATTAGCTAATTCTTGTATCTTTTCCCAGATAGATCAAGTCACCAATAAATAAATATGGACAAGTCCAGTAAACTGATTTTTCTCTTTTTAAATATGTATTTTTATTTCTACAAATTAATTTTATAACCTATTGAGTTTTCTTGGGTCATTTTCAAATGGTTATATAAATGTGTGGATCATATACATTGCCATTATTAACCTCTCTTACATCCCCATCTTTCTTTCTCTATATTCCCTTCCTCTTGCTCAATAATCAAATAATCATCCTTCTACTTTGTTTTTTGTTTTTGGTTTTTTTTGGTCTTTTGAAACAGGGTCTCACTATGTAGTTTAGGCTGGCCTTGAACTCACTCTGTAGCCAAGGCTGGCCTCGAACTTGTGGCAATCCTCCTACCTCAGCCTCCTGAGTGTTGGGATTACAGGCATGCACCACCATGCCCGGTCACTGTTTTTCTTATTGGTTATACAGATTAATAGATTTTGTTTTGACAGATATATGCACGCTCATAACATACTTTGATCATTTTCACCCCACCATCACTTGACCTCCTGGCTAGTTTCATATTTTAGGAGGCTGTTTCAATACGTACATTTTGCTCATATCCATTCCATCATTGCGTGCTTTTACACCCCTCCCTTTCCCTTCTTGTCTAATAATAGTCTCCCTTCTACTGTCCAGTCTTTTTAGATTCCATGTGATACTGTGTTTGTCTGGTCTGGCTTATGTAACTCAACTTGATGGTCTCCAGATCCATCCATTTTTAGTCTTCCTGTTTTAATTGAAGTAGAGCATACCGACAGAAAAGTACACTGAGCATAAATTTACAGTTAAATTAATGCCAGAAAACAAAAACCTCTGTGTCATTATTACCCAAATCAAGTATAGAATTTTATTATCACCCAAGAAGTTCCCCTTGTTCCTTCCCCTTCTAGTCTTTATCCCCTATTTTCCCACAAAATATTATTACGATGATTTAAAATTTTTTATTTTTTTGCAGTGCTGGGAATTAAACCTTGCGCCACAAACATGGTAGACAAGTTTTTTTTTTTTTTCCCACTGAGCTGTATCCCCACCCCTTATAATGATACTTTTCTCCCTCCGTGGTACTAGGGTTTGAACCAGTGCTTTGTGTGTTTTAGGCAAACACTCTACTGTTTTTTATTTTGAGTCAGAATCTTGCTAAATTGCCAGGCTGGCCTCAGACTTGTTATTGTTCTGCCTATCCTCTCGAGTAGGTACAGTTAGAGGCATGTGCCACCACGGCCGGCCCCTTGTATTGATTTTTAATGCCATATTTTGGTTTTGCCTGATTCAGAACTTTATAAAAATGGAATTACAATAATATTCTTTGGGGACTGGTTCATTTATTTCACATACAGTGGACCCTCAAGTTATGACCAGCCTGACATAAGAACAACTTGGGTTAATTAGGTTAATGGAAGATTCATCTGCATCTTGTTATCTGTAGTATGTTCCTAGGTAAACATCCAGATCTCAATTGTATTGACTTACAACCAGTCATTGGGAGCCGATCGAGTTCATAAGTCAAGGGTCCACTGTATTTGTGTAGCTATGATTAGTTTATGATCATTGCGATATTGTATTCATTCCATTACATGAATATATCCCAGGTTAACTATTTTAATATTTTAATCATTGAGTTGTTTCCAGTCTTGGATGATTATAAAGAAAACTACTGTGATTATTCTTACTTGTGTTTCTTGGTATATATTTGCATGGACTTTTGTATAGCATGTTCCCAAGAGTATAATTGTTAGGTAGGTCATAGGTACATGTTTGTTTAATTGTAATATATAAAACATTCTTTTCAAAGTAGCTGTATTATTTTATATTCCTACCAACAGCAATTAAGAACATTGATTGCCCATACTTTTCAGTATTTGTTAGTTTTTAAAATTTTAGCTACTTGGTGTATAAGGTTGTCATTTTTTTTTTTTTTTTTTGGTACTGGGGATCGAACTTGGGTCCTTGCGCTTGCACAGCAGGTGGTGAAACCACTGAGCTAAATCCCCGGTCCAAGGCTGTCATGGTTTTAATTTACATTTTCTGGATACTTGGTAGTTTGAGCACTTTTTCATCTATTTATAAGCCATTTAGATAGATATCTTTTGTGAAGGACCAGTTCAGGTCTCTTAGCATCCCTCCTCTTTCTTTCTCTCTGTATCTGTCTGTCTGTCTGTCTCTCTCTCTCTCTGTTTTAAACAGGGTCTCATTATGTAATCCAAGCTGGCCTCGAACTCGTGGCAATCCTCCTTCTTTGGCCTCCCAAGTGCAGGGATTACAGGCATGTACCACCACATCTGGATCTTTCTGTATCTCTTAAATCTGTTTCAGTTTCTCTTTCTTCCTTCCTTTGTCTGTCATTTTTCTCCTTTTCTCTCTTTTTTACTGCTCTTCTCCTCCTTTTTTTCTCTTCCCCTCCCCTCTCTTGCAGTACTAGGGATGAAACCCAAGCCGTGCTAGGCAAGTGCACTACCACTGAGCTGTATTTCTAGTTTCTCTTTTTCATTGACTTGTAGTTTTTTTTTTGTTTGCATGACTATTTTATATATTAACCCTTTCTCAGTCATATGTTATAAATATCTTAGAAATAAGCTAATTCTTAACTTCACCTATAGTTCAATTAATCATTATTTCCCTATATTCTTTGTTTTTTCTATTTTTGTTTTTGTATCTTAAGAAACTTCCCTGTGCCAAGGTTAAGAAGTCATTTTTCTGTGTTTGTTTCATTTTCTTCCAAGTGAAAATCCAGTAGACCTAGCTCTGTGTGTTGAAAAGATGATTCTTTCTGCAGTGTGTCATGCAGTACTGGTTTTGTCAGAAACCACGTGTCCTCACATATATGGCACAGTTTCTGGGTCCTCTATTCTTTTCCTTTGATCTGTGTACTGGTTTTTATGCCAGCTGTACTACCTGAATTATTCTAAGTCTTGATATCCAGTAGAGCAATTTTCATACCCGTTCTTCCTCCAGAGTGTCCTGGCTAGTCTAACTGTTGACATTTCCGTAGAAATAATAGAATCAGAATTTACTGATTTCTGCCAAATTCTCTCCCACTCCAAAAAGCCAAAAAATATACTGTTGAAATTTTGGTGGAGAATTGGTATTTTTACAGTCTGCAAGCAAGGTGTACCTCTCCATTTATTTAAGTTGTCTTTATATAGTCTCATTAATA